CTCGTCCTCGACGCCGCGGGGGGCGCCGCCGCGCCCGCCGCGGCGGCGCGGCGGCTCCGGGTCCTGCGGCGCCTCGGCGGCGCGCCGCCCGTCGTCGCCGTCGCCGTCGGCGTCGAGGCCGCGGCGGCGGCCGAGACCGAGGCGGGCCTCGAGGCGCGGCTCGGCGGCCTCGCGGCGCGCCTCGGCGTCTCCGCCTGGTTCCCGGCCTTCGCGGCGCCGGCCGGCGACCGCGCGACCGCGCGCGACTTCGAGGACCGCGCCGCGCTCCGCGACGTGAACCTCGCGCCGCTCCAGTTCCTCGTCGACGACGTCGTCACGCGCCGGGACCTCCGGCGCGCCGCGCGGCCCTCGAAGCGCGCCGCGGCGGCCGCGCCGCGCGCGCGCGCGGCGCCGCCGCCGGCGCCCGCCGCGGACCCGCGGCTCGAGCTCTCCGCGCACGACCGCGGCGGCGGCGCCGCGGGCGAAAAGCCGCCCGTCGCTTCCGACGAGCCGCGGCTCGCGCTCTCGGCGCACGACCGGGGCGGCGGCGGCGCGCCGCCGGCGGAGGACGCGCCGCCGGCCGAGGACGCGGCGCCGCGGGAGGACGCGCCGCCGCCGGAGGACGCGCCGCCGGCCGAGGACGCGCCGCCGCGGGAGGACGCGCCGCCGCCCGAGGACGCGCCGCCGCCGGAGGACGCGCCGCCGTCCGAGGACGCGCCGCCGGCAGAGGACGCGCCGCCACGGGAGGACGCGCCGCCGGCGGAGGACGCGCCGCCATCCGAGGACGCGCCGCCGCCGGAGGATGCGCCTCCGCCGCCGGAGGATGCGCCTCCGCCGCCCGAGCCCGGCGACGACGACGCGCCCGGCAGCCCCGCGGCCCCCTTCCTCGCGTCCGTCTTCCCGTAAGCGAGGCGCACCCACCCGGCGCGAGAGGTTAGTAGCGCTTGAGGCGGCGGCACTCCTTCGTCCAGGCCGCCATGTCGACGGGGTCCGAGTCCGGCGTCGCGTGCGTGTCCTCCTTCCAGATCTTGAGCGTCTTGTCCGCCTCGCAGGTGACGAGGCGGCTCCCGCTCCGGTCGAACTTGGCGTCGTAGATGCCCGCCTCGCACTGGAGGGAGCCCGGCTGGGCGACGGTGTGGAGCTTCTGGAAGCCGTAGCCCGTCCGGTAGTCCCAGAGCCGGAGGGAACCGTCGTCCGCCGCGGACGCGAGGACGCCGTCGTCGTTGACGTCGACGGCGTTGACGATGGCGTCGTGGCCGCTCAGGTTGCGCAGGAAGGCGCCGTCCTTGCACTGCCACTTCTTGATGTTGTCCGCGGCGCCCGACGCGAAGGAGAACTCGAAGGGCGCGACGGCGAGGGACCGGATCGCCTTCTTGTGGTGCGTGAGCGTCGACAGGGCCCTGCCCTTGGCCAGGTCCCACAACTTCACCGTGCAGTCGTGGGAGCCCGTGATGACCTGGGGGTCCGACGCGTTGCACGCGATGGCGCCGATCGTGTTCACGTGGCCCCCGAGCATCATGACCTGCTTCGACGTGCGCACGTCCCAGACGCGGACGCACGAGTCGCGGCCGCCCGTCATCAGCAGGTCGAGCGTCGGGTGGAGCGCGAGGGAGTAGACGCCGCTCAGGTGGCCGTGGTAGTGGCGGACGACCTTGTTCGTCTCGAGGTCCCAGCACATGACCTTCTTGTCCTCGCCCGCGGAGAACATGTACGTCGTCCGCGCCG